GGGGGGGGGCAATAAATCGGCATTTTTTAAAATTTTCTTTCAAATTTTGTTTATTAGAAAATGTACTTACAATGTTATCCAACATAAAATTCACTTACGAGAAAGTATATAGTGATTAATTTTTTGTCGACATAGTAAATTTTCTCATCCTATCAACATGGAGTTATTTACATGAAAAAATAATTTAGTTTTTAAAGGGTATAAAAGTTAATCAATATTGCAAGGATATTTTGGTCGTTTAATATTTAAAATAAAACATTCGTGCTTAATATTATGTGTGTTAGACGGAATATTTTTTCTTGGGCAGGTAATGATTAACACACAATACTTTTTCTTGCATACACTTTTTAACAGGCGGTGGTCAACAAGAAATACGCTTTCGTCCTTAGTTCTTGCATACTCAATGTTGAAGATGAAGAGAACAGTTTTGATGACTGATAGTTTAAAGAAAATGTAGATCTTTCACGTATAATGGATTTGTCACAATGGAAAAAGCTCTAGAATATGATTATATGAAGAAGGTGGAGAGCGCTTAGCTTAGAATGAATTAGTTGACATACAGTTTTTGCTGGATAGTGGGTGACTTTTTGATTGATCATGTTTTGACGATACATAATTGAACTCATGAGATGAGGAAAGGCAAAATTGTAGAAGTAATTAAAAGATGATGGCAGAAGAAAAATAGCTAAATTTGACTCAAGATCTTACATGCATTCTAAATGTAGTAGGATAAGCGGATCTATATAAGGTTAGGACTTCCAATAAAAAGGCAAAAAGGATATCTTTGATTCAAAACTTACAATTTCAGCTTGTGTTACTATACTTAACCTTTAAGAACAGTCCTTGCTTAAACTGGATTTTTCAGATACGTAAGTTCCACAACTTTCAGACAGGACAGCCATAAAAACAAAGGATTCACTATGCCCTTCAATCTGATGGTTTGTCAATTAAACCTAACAGAAAAGCTTTCATTGCAAGTCTGAAAATGTTAACCCAAGCATCACAAAGAATTTGTAAAGTTAAAGTGCTCAACATATTTTACCGAATTAAAAATTCAGTAAATTATCTAAAAATACATCTAAGAAAATACAGAGATGCTATCTAATAGTTTCCAATGAAATTCAAACTAGTGCAGAGAACAATAATTTCAACAGACAACTTGAACAAAGCTCGTTACACTTGAAAGAGACTATAAACAATGGCCTATTGATGTCCTTGATTATGTGGAGGCGGCCCCGGTGGCAATGGCGGAGGCATTCCAGATTGAAGACCGAAGTTTGACTGCATGTGCATTCCAGGTGTATTTGGATTTCCAGATTGCTGGAAAGAGAAAAAAGAGAAAAAAGAAAAAGAAAGAAAATGACATGTAACTGGAGAATTCATATAGCCCATAAAACAAATTTTCAAGTTTCCAAAGTCAAAACCAATATTTCACATTAGAGTCGGTTAAAACATACGCAGCTACGAGACTCAGAAAATAAATTATCTCACAGATTAAGTACTAACAAGTTGTACCAAGAAAAAAGAGAGAATTTATGCAGGATAGAAGCTCATCAAAGTACACACATTAATCCTCCTTAGGTTTCAACATTTCACATGCACGATAGGATACATTCCTTCGATATCATTATCTTTGTTGGCTTTTGAACAGTGTATCAGAAGATAGGATGAGAAAAACAAGCAAAGAAACAGCTGGTTTGAAGAGAAAAATGGGTAGACCTCGAGTTTCAGGTCTCAGTATGGACAATCTTATGTTCTAGCAGGAAGAGCGAAATTATTTAAAGTGTCAACTGCTGGGCTTCCCCCGTAAATACATTGTACAGTAAAGTCTTTTTCACTTTACAGGATAGTTTGAGCAGGCAATATATATTTATTCATAATCAAGAAATCCCAAAGGGCCAGCTGGTGCAAGGCCGAAATTTGGTGCACAGTGGACCCTCCCCTCTACCCTTCTCTACTTAAATATTAGACTTTTGTTCGTGGCATGGTTCCAACTCATGAGTCTAATCATACAGCACACGCTGCACTCTTACTACTAGCCCGAAGCACTGTGGGCAGTTTGAATAGGCACGTCTCTAAAATAACCTTCTCTCTCCCAGTTTTAGTTGACAGATGGTCATGCGAAAGCCACAATGGTTTACACATATCTGGTCTGAAGGTCTTAAACCAGACAGCCACTCCAAATGGTAGTTGAAGTCTCCCCACCTAAGAATATAACATCGCCTACCCCAAAACCCTCTCCACTGCCCAGGTCCACCCCCTAAAAATAGAAGAAACAAATCAAAACTGTATCTACCAGATTAAATTAATTGAGTAAAAATCGTAGAAAAGTAGGGCAATCCGCATTCACGCTCAGAAAATGACCTTGCAAGAACTTTTTAAAAGGTAAAATAATTTCAATAAGAAGAGTACCACAGAGGTGGTGAAAAGTACAAAAGATGGTGCAAGAAGCATGATTACATCAGTAGCTCATACAATCCATAAGGTCAAAGATGAGCTAATTCATTATTCACCCAACTATCTCACACCAGAAGTATAAAAATGTCCTTAAAAAAATATACAGTTACTTAAATATGTGCATTTAAAACTCCAAAGCTTCTCCCTCTTATGCATAACTATCCCAGTTTTGGCACAAAATTGAATAATTCCCAGCACCTTCTTAAAAAATACATTTAACATTCCCAGCAATCGATCACAACTACAAGAAGAGCAAATTAACTATGAGAAGATGTTATCTTCAGCAAATTCAGTCAGACCCATTCTTATTACTCCATTATGTGCCGCTTGCGCAAGCCCACAGGCAGTGGCGGATCCATGATTCTGAGCAAGGGGTTCAACATTTTAAAGAAGTGAACAGTAGAATATTCGTCAAATGAGTTCATCAAAAAAATTTAAATCTAAACCTAAACTACACTACCATTAAAAATTTAACTAAAAATATGTTGGATCAAAACTAATACGGAATTACGTTGTTTTGAAGTAATCATTTTCAAAAGAAAAAAGTAAAATGCATTTTAAGGAATAAAAAGCAACAAAAAAAGGTCATAATATAATAAACAAAAAATGAACTAAAGATGATTGCAGAAATAACTAATAAATAAATAATCCTAATTAAAAGTATTAAAACAGTATACTTGATGTAGAGGATTTCAGATACAAATTTTCAACCAAAACATAACAAAGCACTAACTAATTTTTCCTATTACTAATACATACACACAAAAGGAAAAATATATGGGTTACTATTGGGTTGTGTCAAGAGAATTCAACATATAATATATACACATAAAATAATTTATTTTTGACGTTTAATTTTTTTACAATAGCCAGGTTAAAACCTACACGAGTTACTGTGTGCTTAAGTTGACCTTATTTTATTAAAAGGAAGAATGAACGAATGTAGGCAGACGCCAACTAAAACCCCGTGCAAAATAATAGAAAGAAAAAATCCTGCACTGCGTGGGAATCGAACATGCGACATTATAGAAAACTTGAACCCCTTGACCACTGAGCTAAGATTTTGGCTTGTGCCAACGGGATGCAAGTCATGCAACATATAATATATAGCCATGAAAACAAATTTAACCCTATATATACAGTATAATTTTCCGGCAAAGGGGGTACGGACCTTCCGCCCGCCTAGATCCGACCATGCCGACAGGTATAGGTACCTAATTTTTTTTCCGACAAAGAATATTTCATATCATCCAGAACTCCCGCTTTTGATATGCTGGGCATCATAGTAGTATTACAAGTACCAGCACTAAATCATCTCCAAACACGACATCATTGACTTACTCTCACTAGGGTTACTTATCTTATTCTCACTGAGGTTACTTGTCTTCACACCCAGTGGCCACCTTTAGTCCTTTTATAGAAATGGATTTAAACTGCAGTTCCCTAGCATAAGTTGAAGTTGCAGTCTAGAATTTTTGTTTTGAGAATAGCTTCGGAAGGTACTGACAACAATTGCTAACAATAAGTTTTAATCTGTAAATATCTCTTGAATCCAGCTATCGACTACCCAACTTGAATCAACAATAAATAGGAAACCTAGGTAATAAATAGCTTAACTAAAAGGTTTGATACATCTAACTGAAACCAAGAATCCAAAATCAAAAAGGGGATCCTGACAGAATAAAAATGAATAAGGTGCTCAAAGTTTATAGCCTTTGCACTCTTAGGTCTGTTAAACTAATTTACATGCCACTCACCTGATAAGGATTATGTCCAGGCATGAGCGGCATTTGTCCAGCTTGTTGCCTGTTGAAGCCTCGTCCTGGTGGAAACATCTGATTACCTCCTGGGTTTTGAGGGCCTTGCATGTTTGGCAGTCCATTTGGCATTCCACCTGGAGGAACATTGCCCTGTGGTCCAGATCCAGAAGGCATGCCCACAAAATGACCTTGAGGCATCGGAGGAACCATCTGATTCATGTTACCTTGTATCCCCTGAAAATAAGAAGACAGCCAATCAGTGACGCTGAATAACCTCTTGATCCTCTCGATGTATTTCCTTCAAGCAAATGCACTTCGTATCAATCAATCAAATATATGCCACAATTCCAAAGTAGTCGGAGTTGCTACCAATTCTGCTCTATTCAAGAAGAGACGAAGATGCTAGTGAAATTTGATCCCTGCAAGTTGACAAGTGTGAACCATCTCGTGTAAAGCTTTAGCAGTTAGAAACATGACACATGTATTAATGTATCTTATGTCACTAAACCTTGCCCTCTCACATGCAACCCTGATTTTTTCCCCTTGAGCCAAGCACATGAAAATATTTGTAGATCGATGGCGGCAAGACTTGAGGACCCTCTGCCTTTTCTAATACCACATTGAACTGTGTGAACTGTCTAATTTAAAAGTTTAAACTCTCAGATAGGGGACACTTTTACTAATTTATTTTATATCTGCAACAGGTGCAAAGAAAAATTAACCATTTGGCTACAACTCCCATCTCAATACAAATGCATGACTAATGCCTCGGAAATTATTATGGCCTTAACCTAGAATAACAGTAAAATAAAGCTGGAATCCTACAAAAAGATAATCTCTGTTTCATAACACTAATTTTATAATATCAAAGTTTTGTAAGCACTTCGCACAAAATGAATCTGGAAAATCTACACAAAATATCGAATTCTTTTTATTTTATGTGTGACCTATTGGTCACTAGTTCGAGCCATGGAAGCAGCCACTAATGCTTGCATTAGGGTAGGCTGCCTACATCACACCACTAGGGGTGCGGCCCTTTCCCGACCTGCGTAAATGCCGGATGCTTTGTGCACCAGGCTGCCTTTTGAATCTGAAAAATCTACAAAGAAGAAAAGGCTTCTCACTAAAAGGGGGGAGTTCGAATGAAGATGAATTCAGAATCTATCAAGATAAGCAAACATAAATACAGAGATACAAATCAGAATGCATGTTACACGAAAAATACATTAACGCTTATTTGTTTCCATTTGATTAGCAAGAGCATTACACTTAAAGATGCACCAAGGAGGTGATGAATCAAGATATGCACGGCACATCTACAGGAAAAAAGGGGAAGAAGATGCATCTGCAAATAGACACAAAGACCCGCAGAAATATGATACATACCATTGGACCAGGGATAGGCATTGCTTGGATGGGTCCAGAACCTGGCATTGAAGACGGAAGGCCAGGCATGTTTACTTGTTGTAGTTGGTGTGGTGGCCGAGGCAAATGAGGATGTGGCATTAGAGGCATATGTGGAGGCTGTAGCTGTGGCAAATTCGATGGTTGCAAAGGATGAGAAGTCATTTGTTGAGGTAGTGACTGCTGGTGCTGAGCTTGCTGCATGTTTTGTTGATATGCTTGCTGCTGATTACCCGCAAGAAGAGATGGATGTGGACCAGGAGGAAGAGGGGGAGCTCCTATAGGCATTGAAACTGGCATGGAAGACTTCTGTTCTCCTTGAGATGAATCAAGCGATAGTGGCAATGCAGCTCCAACTCCAGGTATTGTACCCTCAGTTCGTAACAAGCCAGAGGCAAATGCTCCAGGGGTTGATGGGGGCTCAGGACCTGGAAAATTACCAGGCATGCGACCAAGAACATTGTTTTGATCACCCAAACCTGAAATCAACCACAAAACCTGTGCTGAGGCTATTTAAGAAGTATACTTTGGTAGTTGAAAGATAGTCAAACTAAGAATATTAACAATGACTACAGAAAAGAAAGATTATAATATTTCAAGAATTTATTTAAAATCAAAGCTGATTTTACCCCACGACTACAAAGCCCTATGCTCTCGAATCTCGATATATGTACAACAAACTGGTACACAACAGTGTTGTCAAAGGCGCGCTTAAAGTGCGCTTGAGCCCTGAAGCGAGGCTCAAAACATGTTGAGCGCTTCGCCTCGTTTTGTGGGCGCTTCAGTGTCACATCAAGGCTCTAAGGCATACTTTTCCTTGCCAACGAGTGTGATCCCGAAAAGGCGACACTAAACAATTCATATTTCACTTTATTGTAATTGTTTTTCAATTTATTTGTTCATATATTTGTTATTTATGCTTATAATTATTGGTCTTGGACTACATATACATATTTTTACTTTTTCTCCAGTTGCGCCTTTTTTCATTAAAGCCCACGCTTTATTTGCGCTTTGCGCTTAAAGCCCCAATGGACCTTAGAGCTTTTTTGCGCTTTTCGCCTTTGATAACACTGGTACACAATCTGAAGCACAATAACTAGCATAAAAAAATTAAAGATAACATTTACACGGACAGGAATTAGTAAAACCTTGCTGTCCCAAATTGAATTTATCACGAGCTGGATCCCCAGGCCTATTTCTGCACCAAAACTTTGTTGTCTGATCATTGCTGCCACTGCATCAGCAACAAGACCAATTAGCTAGCTGCATAGGCTACTTCAGTAAAATGTTTTATTGTTGGTGGAGATGCAGAATACTATGTAATGGAGAAGCTTAAGGACCTCCTTAGTTCTAACGAGAATGATAAAGGAAAGAAAACAGCAAGAAAAGCTTGAAAAAGCCACTGAAAGACAGTGACATGCAATTCCTCACACACGTAGATAGAGGAAGGGAGAAAATATAACTCCACCCGATGGAGGTTCTGCAAGATTTAAATAAATATAAACACGATCAGGCCTAAAAAGCTAAATACAAGTAACCACACACAAAGCTACCTGCCCAAGAAAGGTTGAAACAAAATCTAAATGAGATAGCTCACTTAGGAGAATCTATTTACCTCTACAATAATAATGAAATTTTTTGCAACAAATGATATATCAATAGTCAATAATGCACTTTCATATCAGAGTTCAGCATCGATTCTGTACTAGAAAAATGGTGTTCAATATAAACCACAACTTCACCCTTTACCAAGAAAAAGAAAACGTTTCAGTTTTTCTCAATTCATGTTGCACTTAAGATAACCATTCCCTACTCTTTTAGTTTTTATTTTTCTTTGAGACTGAGGCGGAAACAGGGTGACATGGGAAGGGGGGTGGGGGGGCTGCTCTGGAAAGAAGACCTTATGAAATAATTTATCCAGAAAAATTGACTACTTTGGATATATGATAAATTTTACTCAATAAAATGACATTAGATAAACCAATATACATAACTTACCACCTTTTCTAACATCTTCCAACAAAACTATTTTCAGCGTAACTATAAGTGCCTCAAATTTGACACACTATAATAAAAGGGCAGAATGGCCTAATTGCCCCTTAAACTTGCACCAATTTTAAAAAGCCGGTTTATCAACTCTCAACTTTCCCATTTTAACACCTCAATTCAATAAAACTACACATAATAAACCCCTTCTTCAGAGCGTGTAGCTCAATTGCCAGACATGAAGTACAGGTCGTATGCTTAGACCATTATACTTGACATTTGTCATTTGTGAGTCCCATTTTTCAAAAATTAAGTTATCAAAATTTTAATTTCTTCTTCGTTAATTTCATTCACTATCTTCTACCCCTTTCACCTATACACAGTAAACCATACCACCACGGGAAACGATCTTTCACCCCTAATCTCAATTCTCAGCCACCATCGCGAAATAAAAAATCTCAGCCACCACATGCCTAATCTCAGCTACAAATAGGAAAATCAAACCTTTTAGTACTAATAGTAGTTAATATAATAGAGAGAATACAACCAATATAAACCTATTGAGATTTGCTATCAAAGTACTGTTCCTTAAAACAACAAAAGCATCCAACTTTCAGTGATTCAAGCAGAGGGAATTCAAGAACTTGGATCCATTAATGTTCAAGAGAAAGAGAAAGCGAGAATACCCAAAATAAATCAAGAAGAGGAAGGACTGAAACAAAAAAAAGCAATTTTCCAGCCAAAACTCGACAATTTTCCAGTCTGAGATGGATACAGAAATGAGAGAGGGGACTTGATGTGAGAGAGAATTGACAGAGAAATTTCCGGCCAAACCTCGTTATTTTTCTTTGTTGCCTGGGTTTTATAGAGGAGTTTGTTAGTGGTAGTGGTGAGTGGCGTTAATACCGTTGGTGATGGAACGAGAAGAAAAGGGGTGGGGGGAAGAAAGGGGTTGGAGAGAGAAAAAATTGGGTGAGGTTGGGGGCGGATGAGAATGGGGAAGGGAAAAGAAACATAAACGGGTGAGGGGTAGGGGAGGGGGCAAGTTTTTTCTTTTCTTTTTATTTTCTTATCTTTTCTTGCTATGTATAATTTTTTTCCCCTAATTTAAACCTTTTTAAAATATAAATTATCACACTCACGCTCCTTTTAAGTCTGAATTGCACGCACTTTAGCCACATCATTTGGACCAATGCCACATAAGCATAGTCAACGGTAAGAGGCGTTTATTTATATGCAATCAATTGAGTTGAAGTGTCAAAATGGAAAAATCAGGAGTTGAGGTGTTAAAATCCGGTGCAAGTTTAGGGGCCATTAGACCATTTTGCCTAATAAAAGCTATTCCTAATTGTACATATACTTGATAAGTTCCCTTGATGGGAGTTAAAGCCAAGATACATGAGAGCAAAAGGAAGTTACTACATAAGCGAGGGCCATAGTCGAACACACAACTAAATTACATACACATAACCAATATAACTTCAGACTTACATGAACTTAACGGAGAAAGAAAGTTGAGAGCCCGCATAAACACTTAAGAACTACAACAGCAGAAGCCGTCATCCCCACGGCCTATGACCGATAAACTTCTTAGTGCGGATAAAAGACAAAGTCAGATGTACAACTATAATTATTCACAAACACGTGGTCTATCCACAGTAAAAGAACAATTCAAAACAAATAGACATTGGGTGGAAAGAACAAGCATAGTATAAGATTACAAGTAGCTTATCAGAGATGAAAAGAGAAAATAAAACAGAATTTAAAGAACCTCTTCTATAAGAAAACGGGAAAAGAGCAAAATTTCAGGAATGCTTCGTATTTTTACAGGAGCATAGAATTGCAGGGTAAATATAACATGTTCTCGAAATCAGCTTCAGCTTATTTTTGTCATAGTAAGCAGCAGATTCAGCACCATAGGTCCAAGCAACACTAACACAAAAAACTTCAAAACAATATCCAGTAACAACCACAATGGATCGACCAGATGCCTAAATATGCAAGGCATAGAAGAAAAGCACACCAGTTTTTGAGAAGAATTCTAACAATTAGCATTTTAGAATATTGTTTTGTTCAAGTGGAGACAAGTACTAACGTAATAAACGTCACTTAACAACAGAGCTGCCGTTTAAGAAAATGCAGTATAACCTGCAAAGGAGATAGCCAATGGGGTGCCATGCAAGATCCCAAACACCAGTTTCATGTGCATTTGTAATTTCAACTTGAGGAGCTTCATGCCTGTGGGTAGAGCATCAAAAAGCCAAGAGAGACAAAATCATTAGAAGCTATCTGAATCACTGATAACAGGGGGAAATGGTGGGATCAGACTAATAAAAGTTAATTGCCTTTATGGGTTCATTTTATAAGTGAGAAATCATAATCCAAACTATCTCATCACATGTTTGGTTGAGGTTGACAAACTAAGTAGCCCAGATGGCTCATTTATTCCCCACAGTTTACAGAAACTGTAGGATGATCCTGCACTGACTCAATACTGGGTAGAAAGAATTTTTTGATTTGAAGCGAAAGAAGCAAACATGTGTTTATTCAATAAAAATAGGGCAACATTCATATGACAAAATATTCAAGTCCACCTCTTACGGGAATAGCAAATAAAAAAGATTTGAGTGAAGGGAGATGATTCTTCCCAGAGCGCACAAGTTCGCGACACAGATCTGACACTTTCCGAGGAGAAAAGGAAAACCGGAGAATAACCATTCTACAACTTCACATAGAACAACCATATATGTCAATTTTTTTTGTTTTTATAAGTTATGACAGCTCGATGAAGTAAAGATATGCGCTAAGAGGAGCAATTGAAAGAGAAAACTAAGTTCCCTATCTTATCTCCGATGTCCACTTCTCGTTGCCAAGAATAACCTAGAATTTTTCATCTCATAAGTTTCCTTGACAAGTCTAGGCTATTAGCAATAACATTCATTCTGAATCGTCATTTGTCATTCTTCCCAACTTGAATCCAGCCAAAAAGTGCGAGGAGTACCAAACTTCAGTTTTATTAAATGGTGCCAAAAGTGCACAAAGAAAAGGTTAATGTTATGGCACAGCAATTAGTAACACTTCTTATAATCTATAGCTAGGTATCCTGTCACTTCATCAAATAAAAACTGTCATTCCAATGGCGCACAGTTGACAGAAGTAAAAAATATCAAGATTAATGTTCTAAACCAGGTCATATAACGATATTTTGAACGCATAAGAGATGCCCAAAAACTAAAGGAGATAGCACAAACTGATTTACAGATGATAGAGAAAGAATTTTCAAGGAACTTACCCCACAAGCCAATGAAATATTGAACCATCAAAGCTTCCGCTAACGAAATACTCTTCATGAAACGGATGCCAGGCCAATGCTGTCACAGTTACATGAAAATAAACAGGCAATTATCAAGTATCACAAACAGTTGAAAGTCGACCATGGAAGCATGGTGGAGGAACAAGACAATAAGTGGAACAATAAGAGTGATTATTATCTGAAGGGACAAAATAAAGCATTAAGATTTCTGCATGACATAGTAGGAAAAACTAAACGCGATTAACAACCCAGATTTTTATCCAGAAAAAACAATTCAGCAACTATCTCCAATTATATTATTTGCTTTTAGTCGACGTGATCTGAAATTTCTTTTTCTAATAATACCTTGGTGAAATTTACTGAATAATACCAGTATACTAACTACAAATTTTTCATCCGAATCCATAACCTGGTCGCTACTTGACATGCTCGTGCTGTATGCATTGCATAAGATATATACACAAACAAAAAGGTAATTCTTACATGTCACATCCTTCTGATGTCCCCGGAATGATTCAAGCTCCTTCATAGCCCTTATGTCATAAAGCTGAAATAAACAGAATGTTACAATGACAGAATACAAACCCTTGCACACAAATACTTGACTTGACATGATAATAATCTACACCATTTGCAGGTTTTCTCATAAGCATGTGATTAACATTCATATGAATGTCAGCTTTGTTATTCCTTCCTAACCAAATAAGAAAATGAATACTGCAGCTAGAACCGGAGAAGTAATAAGTAGCAATACACTTGCTGTGAAGAAGTAGTTGCAGTTAAAAAATAAGCTAGAAATGCTAGTTGGTTGCTGCCGACACTCTAAAAAGAGATTTTAGCAAGCCTTCTCAAATCCCAAAGTTACAGATTTAAAGAAACTGACTGAACCACTGCTAAAAATCACACGACCCTAAAACTTCAAATACCTCAGAGCACAACTCAATAGAAGGAAAAAAACAAAATAAACATTTCAACTGAAATCAGCAACTTCAAGTTGATCCTTATTCTTGTGGCAAGACTCTTACCAGTAAGTGAAACCTAATAAAATCAAGATTTAGGGGGCGAAAATGAGATTTGATTGTGTAATCTTAAAATGAGAAACAAAGAGTAAAACTTTTCGAGATCAACTACGACTCAAATATAGTGCTGCAAAGTCTTTTTTTTCGGGGACAATCTGGAATGAGAGGGATAGGAGACCCTTAATGATTGACTCAACATATCATCTGAAGAAACAGAAAATACCAAAAAGTTCGAATTCACAGATAATAACATTGATTATTGGCATTGACATAATAGGAATATTTTGTCTATTAAGGAGGATTCCCCGAATACCTGAAATAGAGATTAGTAATAGAAAATGTGAAATATTTGACAGGATCCATTTCGGGAACATAGAATGTAAGAGAAATTCAAATGTGAGACCGAAGTAGCTATACATACAAATCTATTTATGGAACAAGTAATATGTTTAATACTTTTGTCAATTGCCATGCAATTTCAAAATAATGAATTTGTGAAACAAAGTTCGAGAAATATGCTCATGAGCAACCAATTTACACCACACATCATTACGTGCAAATCAGGAAAAAAGATCTATATTATTCACAAACCAGCCATTAAAATATCTCATCCTAATTGCTTTTAACTGCATTAGCACCTCCTGGAAAAGGAAGAAATGGAACAACCTACCTTGATAATTTGATCTTTGGAAGCAGTAAGGACCCAGTTACCATTTTGATTCCACTTTACACAGAGAACAGTATTCTTATGCCCGTGACTGCAAACAGAACACAGCATCCATGTTATTGCTAAAAAAATATAGCTCTTCTTTTTTATAAAGTCCCAAGTGGATAGAAATAGTAACATTGCAGATTTAAGGAGAGCAGTTTTTGACTGACAATGAGGAAAGCTCCTTCCCTGACTTGGCATCCCAAAGTTTAACAAGATTATCTTTTCCACCTGCAAGCAGGACAAAACAAAGAATCAAAGAACGACTGTAAGTTAGTAACTGCTCAGAACAGTTCCAAAGAAAAGGAGAAGAAAAATGCATATACCTGAGACTAATAGAGACTTTGTAGGGTGCCAATCAACACTCTTCACATCCCAACCATGGCCTGCCTGGGTTCAAGTGACATGAGGAACTATTCTTAGGCCACTCACGCTTAAGTTAACTGGTACATAAGTGTTGATGGCAAAATTGAAGAGTTATTGCTAGTGCATTCTTTGGAACAAAATTTCCAATTAATAGTAAACTTTTACCAGAACACATGTTTAAACATGTCATAACAGTGATTACAGAAGTAAGACGTAATGGAAGGCAGAGCGCCATCTGACAGGTAAAAGCATTACAGCAGTATGCATGTTATTTATAAAACCAAAAATGTCGCTTTAGCATAGTATCACTGATACGCAGTCAACCATCACTTTCAGCTTGAATTTACAATCTTTTTAATAAACAGCTTGAGGGACATTACCAGATAATGAGCGCTCTTCTTGGCACCTTGCAAAGTCCCATACTTTAACAGTTGTGTCATCAGAACAGGAGCAAAATTTTAAATCTGTACTACAGAAGCTGTTCAAAAAACATAAGACTTAGCAAGCCACCTAACATCATATATACCCTAAAAATACATTTAATGATGCAAATGTGCTGATAGAGAAAACTAAAATGTAATTAAAACCCAAGTACATAAAATCTTTTAAAACCAAGTCACATCATTTAGAATAATTACCTTAATCCCCGTACTGATTCTTTATGTGCATTCTTATTGGCTTTGACGTTATTCATATTGGTTTGCCAATACCTGCCACATGATACAGACGCAAATTCACGGATGGGAAAGAAAAACACGACATAGATACTGACAGTGTGAAATGCAGATTGTTCCAAACATTTATTTACTTTATTGTGCCCCCATCATCACCGGTGACCATCCAGTTATCATTGTGGCTCCATATCATTGACCTAACTGCTTGATCATGAGCCTGCACATAAAACATGTTACATTGTCCACCCAATTCGGTTGTCACGTACTAAGATCTGAAATTCACAACCCCAGATTCATACCTGAAGTATCATTTCAAAGTTAAACGACTGCCCATTCCAGAGTGTGAATTCACCACTATGAGATCCAGTAATGAGGCGCCGCCCACTAGGAGTCCACTATGTGATTCAAGAGAAAATGTTTGAATAAGAGAATAAAGATTTAGAAGACGAAATGCACAGAGGGTGTGACACAACCGAGAGAGAGAGAGAGAGAGAGAGACTCGGAAAACTTTAGTTCTACATCGTGTCATAATGCTAGCTGGATCTGCTTTAATTCTTTTAACAGTTGCTTTAGAGTGATAATGACATAAAAGCGGCCCCAAGAGGCTATTAGAATTCAAACTACAACATGTGACATGATAAATCCTTCCATGTTTTTTTTTATCCGTTTACTTCCCAGAGAGTTGCTTGTCAGAATAAACCAAATACAAAGAGCTCTACCAAGATAAGAAACTAGTACTTCCCAGTGAAAAACAAAATCATCCCAAAGAGAGTTCGATAGCACAAATCATGTTTCAAGGATCCCGATTCATGCAATTAATCAAGGCCTTGGAACTACGTGAATATTTCAGACACTTGATGCTTTGAAGAACAAACCATGATTGAACGATTTTACTAATAAATATTACTCCCTCCATTCCATTTTACTATGGCGGTATTTGATTGGACATGCAGTTTAATATGTTTATTTGACTTATATATTAGCGACGGAGGAACAGAGTATTACAAGTAGTGTTGGAAAAGCTAGTTTGATAGAAAGATATTAACATCAAAATTTAAACTCTGATAAATTTAACAAGTTTGAATTCTTGACAGTTTTGAGAGTTGTATAGAAATGGAACAGTGTCAAACATTTTGGACGTCATAAAAAAGGACAAAGTGTCACATTAATAGGGACGGGAGGAGTATCAAGTAGCTCATGGGCATATGTACATAGTTGCATGCGTGCTTCTGGACATAGTAATTCAATTGCCAACACAGAACCAAAGATATACACAACAAAAGTACAAATGAATGATAGAGGGCCAAAAAGAATCCTTCAACTCACCGCAACACAATTGATTGAACAACGGTTTTTATTTAGAGATGTATGAACAAATTTAGCAGCAAAACTTGTGGAGGGATTATCCAAATAGGCAACTGCTGGCAATACCTGCACCCATGAACAAACATAAAATCATAATTAAAAGAAATAAATTAGAAGAACATGTAACCTTGCTCATTTTTTTTATATGTGTGCAACCAGAAACACATTTTCAGGAATTTCTGTAGAACCATTAGCATTTATTTTGCTGGTTTCAGGAGAATAGCTTTAATAGTATGTTCAGCGGTAGGAGACTTCAAACTTCTAATTATATGTGGAATACACAAATTATCTTTAAGGGTTAGTTTGGTACTTTTTTGGAAATCTAAGTTACAAACTTAACAATTAACTTTGTCCACTAGGTGGTACTAGAATCTTCTTGAGTTCTTGGAGTCTATAACTAGCATTATATGCAGGTAAAACTGAACTATGATCACCTTCCTAGACTACACGTAATACGTATGTTTTGGTTAACTTTCCTCAAGATTGCCTGATTACAATTCTTCAAACTTTCCTCAGATAAGGAAAATGTTCTCCAAAGACATGCTATTCTCATGGCACATGCTCTTTTTATTTGAAAATCAATGTTTGTAAATACAGAATAACAAGTTTGAATAATTTAACATAAGCATATTGAAAACTACAGAACTATAGCCAATTTCTTTGGCTCCTGCTACTTTAATGGCAGTTCACTATAGCTTTGGGTAGAATTTTGCACAAACCAAGAACTTAAGGACTATATAGTTGGGGTGATTTTCTCTTTTTACTTCTCACTCAGGAAAAGTTTATCATAGATATCAGCAGTAATAGAAGATCACAACGTATAATCATAGAAACTAAACTAAATTATGCAGAATCAAAGACCAAATCGTAAGTGAGCAAACTGACATCAACAGCTGCTGCTGGACTAGGTTGTAACACTGTCCTATCCCTCGAGTCGCGCTGCCACATGCGGATCTGCAGGAAAGCAATAGTTCTTGACTTTGGACCAGAATAACCTTAGAAGTTAAAGAATATTATGAGTACCATTGCCAAGTTGTCAAGCCCACAGAAAAGACCAAAACCGGAGTTATTAATGGACAAAATAATAAAGACGACTTTGGTTTCTCATTCTCATTTTTCTACCTCTTTTTAAGAGGAAAATATTTTAAGAATTTCTCTTCTTTTTAGTTCCTGCTCTCACTTCTTTTCCTTTTTTAAGATACAAGATCTCATTACCTAGAGCTATTGCAACCAAAGAGCACAACAACTTATAATATATCAGAACATAAATAAAGCTCATACGGGTGTTAGCTACTGCAAATTAGAACCATGTAATTGGTTCTTGTGGAGTTGGAACTAGAAAAGAGGTTGGAGTCCTTCAAAAAATATGTGGCATTTCAGCTTCTGGAAAGATAATTAGTGCAAAGCTCTATAATGTTCCTGAGTGTATGATTAATACTAGTACTAGACAAATAAACCACTCTACATGCTATATTTACTGCTACTTGAGAAGTAGTACTAACGAAACACTATACATCCTATCATCTTTCTACTCTAACCATTGGAAGAGCAATGTATGATAAGTATTGTAGTACTACGTATCTTCCTTTCAAAATTATACAATCATATCGCCCGAGTTCCATAGAACCTAACACAGAGAAACTCATACCATAGAATCATGTGATACCAACAATGTGATATGGGATGATTGTTGTGTCTTTAAGGCCCAACATATCCCTGAGTTGAGCGTCATAGAGGATGTTAAGATAGATATGTGATCATACAAGAAATGGACAGCATTCAAGATGATCACATTCAAAGGAAAGTGCAAATAGGAATAAAATAAGAGAAGGAAAGCTCCATCTCAAAAAAAAAGGAATAAAATAAGAGAAGGTCGCATCAAGTGCATCAACCCCTAGGTGCAACACCTATGATGATTGAACTCGTTAAAATGGAACGAGGTAGACCTAAAATCATAATCTCTGGGAATCAATACGAAATTAACTAAGCACATAACATAATGGAAGCAAATCATCCATATAGTCAATAGCAACAAGACTAAAATTGATTAAAAAGAATCTTGCTAACTTTTCGTAATTGTGACTGGACAACAGCTCGTGGTTCTATCCCCTTGAAAGAAAGAAAAGAGGAAATGAGCCTGCACTTGCCGTAATTCCTTATGTGACAGGACAACAGCTAATGAATCTAACCCCTTGCTAATTTATATAATAGTACTATATAGAAGAACATTTGCTGCACCACATCCCATAAGCAGGTCTCTGGATAAAAAAACACATTCAACAGTTATTACCTGCATATATCTTACAACTGTACTAGTGTAATCAACTGCTCTTCTTTGACCAATTTTTCTCATTCTCTTTGCAGCAAAACTGTCAGCATGAGCTGCAAATATAAGGAAAAGAATAAAAAATTAGTAGCCATCATAATTCGGTCCAGTAATGTCTCATCAAAGCAAAAGTAAGTCCCTAAGAACCAAGGTAACATTCATCCTCTCTTCAACTATTATCAGAAAGTGGATTGGACCTACACTTACCTAAACAATAAGAAATGGCAGGTCCTATGTGGATTTGATCATATGAGACAATCATAGCCTCATAGTTGTTATCAGTCGTTTTGTGGGTAAGATGAGAAAGGACATCAAAATTGGCTGCTGAATCAGATAACAAGAAACAGAGAAGTGATGAGGAAATTGCCTATTAACCTTCTTCCTGCTTCCAACATTCTGCATTTATCTTGCTTCTCTTACAAAGTGAAAATGATAATTGGTATTAATAGTTCAACTGTGATCTGTGAGCTGAAAATTTTCTTTCTTCTCCAACTAGATAGAAACTATATCGTATAACGACTAAAGAGGTTGTTCCCAAATAACACTAAACATTAGTCTCTCCCTTTGTCCCTTTCAAATTACTTCCAATTTACAACTTTCTGTTTCTACCCCTTAAAGAATTTTTTTTTCAGATTAATCAATGACACAACGGCATTTTGGTAACTGGTCAAACAAATAAAAGAAAAAAGAAAGCTTTAGCTAGTTCTTTTTTCCAACAAAAATTTAAGTTCATAACAACTAGATTCCAAATACGTCCTACCAGTTGTACGCTATGCTAAAAAACATGTCAATTCAAATATGAGAAGTAAAAGAGCGGATGAAACACTGGTAAACAAGACATACCATCATAAGAAGGATGAGGAGTAGGTCCAGGTGGCTGAGCATTAAGAGTAGTGGAGGATGCAGATGGCTGCCGCATCATGGGAGGTGGACCTGGTGGAGGTTGAGGACCCCTTGGAAACTCTCCAAAATGTGGAGGGTGTTGTTGCTGGTGTTGGTGCTGGAATTGTTGCTGTGGCATCGGCTGGTGCTGCTGATGCTGATGTTGATGAGGATCACCACTCGTCATCATAGTTGAGGACAGATTTGGATCCAAGATTTAGACTTAATGGGTTCACGATTCAGACTTCTGGAACAGTGACCTCAAGTTAATACACAATAATAATCAGAGCAACAGGTATCAACATTCAATACACATTTCAAATTTCAAAAAGTTAATAACCAGCTAAACACAAAAACATTATAAACATCACCATTACATTTGGCCTCAATGACTTCTCCTGTTTGAAAACAATCAATGATCGCATTATTAGGTACACATAAAACGCAACAACCTCGTTATTCAAGTTTCTTAATAGAATAGACCAACAACAACAACAACAACAACAAAAAACCCAGTATGATCCCAACAGGTGGGGTCTGGGAAGGGTAGTCTGTACGCAGACCTTACCCCTACCTAATGCAGGTAGAGAGGCTGATTCCAATAGACCCCGGCTCACGAAGGGCAAGAAGAAGAAGAGGAAAGCAAGGAAGNAAAATTAGTAAATTCATATGAAATTAATTCCTACGATTTGTATTGAGTATCTAGAGACCCTCGGCTCACGAAGGGCAAGAAGAAGAAGAGGAAAGCAAGGAAGGAAGAAAGAAGGAAGAGAAAAGAAAAAGGGAGAGATAAAAGATAAGTAGTACCAAATAATAGCAATAGGGAACCTGAGGCGAACAAAACCGCATAACGTAATAAAAATCTAAGAATATGAATGGACATGTATGCTACTAAGACTATTGGTGAACAACTAAAAACTATCCACTAACCTTCTACCTTAATGGCTCTAACTTTTCTTCCTAACACGCTTAATGGCTCAGGCCATTCCTCCTATGAAAAATACCCCATAGAGAGCTTACACTCCACATCCAATTGAGGAGCTTACGTTCTAAATTTCTATTTTTGAATATCAACTTTCAAACAAAAAAAATTAAGGAAAGCAGAGCTGGTATCAAATCATATAATAATGAGAGACTGAAATTCTTAGAAATATTATGCCAATGTAAATTCTTAGAACATAGTTTGATTAAAGGATAACGACTGAAGGAGCTAGTGTACCAGTTTACCGGAACGAGAATAAACCAGCAACAACGAACTTGGAACTCCGGCAGAGAAGGCCCGTCGGCGAGTGGTACGGCGACTGGCGGGAGGAAGTAGCGGCAACAAAAATCAAAAGCTTCCTTTCAAAGTTAAAACCCTAATTTTCTCACTCCTCAGTTCTGTCTGAGGCATTTGGAGGAAACATAAGTTTGAAAAGGATCGTTATGTTCGTTTTGTTTCGCTCAAATTTTTGGATTTTGGAAAAAGAAAAAGAGAAAAAAATCTCAGTTACTTGAGACCACAAGGAGTACCGGAGCAGGAGCTGGATAGGTTTGGTGATGAAGAGGGAAGAACACTTTTTCTGGGCTCATTTTGAAATAAACTTGATATTGGGCTAATTTGTGGAATCCATGTGAAATCCTTAAGGCCCACACCCAATTTTCAAGGTGGAAGTGCACAATTAGAGATGTCTTTACTCTTTAGCCAATGTTTAAAATGTATTTACTCTTTAGTCGGTATTTATTAAATGTTTACCCGTCCAGACGAAAATATTCATATGCTAGACATGGGTGCTGTGTAAATATTAAGGACATGGTGTCCTTAACTTCATGAATGTTGTGTAAATATTAAGGACAAAGTGTACTGTAATTGCACCTTCCGTTGTTAAACTTTAGGACATCATGTCATTAACTTCATATGTGCAGTGTAAATGTTAAGGACATGGCGTCCTTAACTTCATGCGTGCAGTGTAAATATTAAGGACATAATGTCCTTAACTTGTATTTGCCCCTTCTGTTGTTAAACTTTAGGACCTCATGTCCTTAACTTCATATGTGCACTTTAAATGTTAAGGATATGGTGTCCTTAACTTTATGTGTGCAGTGTAAATATCAAAGACATAGTGTCCTTAACTTTATGAGTGTTGTGTAAATATTAAGGACATGGTGTCCTTAACTTCATGAATGTTGTGTAAATATTAAGGACAAAGTGTCTTGTATTTGCACCTTCCGTTGTTAAACTTTAGGACATCATATCCTTAACTTCATATGTGCAGTGTAAATGTTAAGGACACGACGTCCTTAACTTCATGTGTGCAGTGTAAATATTTTACACAACACTCATGAAGAAAGGGTAACAACGTCTTTTCGTATTAATTTTAACAGAGTAGTGGTTATTTTTGCTCAGCATTAAAAATACTGGATAAAAATTAAATATCATGTTAAAAAGTGGCTATCCCAATTAAGAAATATCATGTTAAAAAGTGGTTATCCCAACTTCGGTAGAAGAAGAAAAAAAGTTTTAAATAAAAATAATTGAGAAAAATACTTAGAAATATTTTTTAAAAGTTTGGTCGGGCACTAATTGTTGCTCAAAAGTTCATTTACAATTATAATTGTTCTTGCTGCTCAAAAGTTCATTTACAATTGCGGCTCAAAAGTTTATTTTTTCTTGTCCAGTTATATTTTTCTAATTCCAGTTCAGTTAAATTTCAATTTATATCTTATCTGGACTTTCTCAAATTCACTTTTGGACCAAAAAATGGAGCCACCTCCAGGCGGGTGATTTACACAAACATGATATTTTTGTGCTTGTATTTAAATTTTGTCCTTACTTTTGACATTGAAACATAATATTTTTTAAGTGTAATGTAAGAATTTTGGACTAAAATACCCTTAAGCTTAACTATCTTCTTATTCGAAGGTGGTGCATTTTTCTTCCAAAACTCCTCTCTCCTTCAAGTGTCGATCCTCACAATAGTCCTCCACTTTTGATCAAGCACCAATATCAGATCAAAAGTGTATTTATTAGTTGGACTCTTTTTTTTCAACAATATTAGTTGGGCTCTTGTAACTTGTGAAGTTGGTGAAGAAAGTTTTTTTCTCCTTTCTTCTTCATTTTTCCAACTAATTTCATATCTTTATGAAGCTATTTTGTTTGGAAGCAGTTTTTAAACTGCATAAATTTTTTGTCATTCAATTGTTTGTTGTTGTTGGTATCAAAAAATATATATATTGAGGTAGCGTACTCTCTCTACTGTTAGAGAAGCATGGCATATCTTCGTCTAAATCATTTTGTCTATGCTACTTGTTGCTGAACAAAAAATTAAGAATAATTCTATCTATACAGTCAGGATGGATCAAAGCAAAAATTTGATGCCTTCAGTTATCTTATTCTGATAGAAGCACTTCACATTTGTCTAGTTGGATCAAGCCTATAACCAATCTTGGCAACTATTCGAAGTTGGTAACAACAAGCTATTGTTGATGAGTGTGACTGAGTGACGCTAGTTTATCTACTACTTTGTTTTCCTCCCTATAGCAATGTTGGGCTGTCAGACTCTTCCTTTTTATAATCTGTTTAATTTCATCCACTATTTGTATCATCCTACATGAAGTAATAAACCCTCCATTAGTACTCATTATACGAATTATTGAATTCGCCTCTACAATAATGTTGCCATATATTTTACATTATTGCAATCCGATGAACATGAACTTAATCTCGGCCTAGTTGCTAGTCCATGATCCAAGAAAGAAGGAGTAAGGCAGAATGGAATTCGCCATTGCCATCCCTTGTTATTCTTCTGGATCCACAATTGCCCCCTTGACAGCTCACATATGTGTTTAACTTATAATAGTATGGGTGTGGCTTGGTCTATCTCATTATCTTATAGGACACGTGATTCATTAGAAGATCTACTACGTATTGCAGATCTCCTTATGAGTATTACAAACTTAGCTTGCCAAATATTTGCTCTACTAATCAAATAGTGTTTATGATATCAGTATCTTTGATCTGTATAATGATAGAGTCTTAGAGCCATACCTTACCACACATTTTGAGCTCCATAATTTTCATGTGATCATGAAAGATATCTTGACTATATAGGAGGCTATTGTGTTAACTTTTCGGTGGCTCCGCTATTGCAATAGTATTTGCCCGTAATATCTATCCTAGTTGTGATACCAAACAAATCTAAAAATTGGCCTAAATGGCTTGGTCAAAGCTGCTAGAGCCAAACAGATGATCAACAGTTCAAAAGTATGAGGAGAAAAATAATGACATCTAACCACCAGGTCATAACCAAATTTGACACATTTTCATATTTGTTGGTATTCTACTTTGAATCACTCTCCAAGTTATAAATACCATCTTGAATGGTATTTGTTTATGTCAAATTTCAGAGTACATTGAGGACTATTCTCTTTTCTATAGCCTCAAGTTGAGGCTACCGCGAAAGAGTCGCTATCATTTGATGTCTGGATCACTTTATCTGATACTCGTGGCATGAGTTGAATACTTTGCTGCAAGACCTCATCTTTAACAGAGTTGGGTATGTCTATGTCCAAGGACTCCATTTTCCAATATTCATTTTTATAGACATTAGTTAGAGACACATCTTTTGGTGTTGATCTTTCCTTAGGTGTCTTATTAAAGCACCCTTTCCTGCCCGGTTGTCATACCAAAAAGATAGAGTCCCATCTCTAGGTATTCATATTATTCTCATTTTTTGCCTCTAACTTAATCTTGCAGAGTATATTCCAGTGATGTAATTATCTTGTGTGCCATTAAGTAACTATGAGGTGTGCTCGTCTACCATACTTTGCTATCTTGAAGTCCCTCTATAGGGAGTAACACATTCTGATATTCCACCAAGATTTAATTGTGAAAGCCTTATATGTGTCATGTATCTTCTAAATTGGGGCTCCACGTTCTTGGTATGGGTAGCATTGGAACTCCCATGAGCCCTAATAATATCTCACATTTTCATTTGTTTCCCTCCAAAAGAAACTGACAAAGATCTTCTCTATATAATTTTTATACTCCTTTAGAAGAATGCATTGTTGACATTAGATGAGTGGGGACACCTTACAATACATACCTTATCATAATTGTTTTGCCCCTAGTGACAAGAACCTTGTCTGCCATCCTCTAGTCTTGGTTAACACTTGTTTATTAGCTCTGTCTTACAATAATAGTGAACAATCTAGATATTTAACTGAAAACTTTTTCAGTTACATGCAAGTGTATTTGGTGACCCTGTCAATTAAATTCATAGACGTTTTTAGAACTAAAATCACACAACTCTTGGTTTTGTTCACTTTTTTGCCCTGAGATCCTCTCATACTTGGCCAGTGTTCTCACTGTCATCTTTAAAGTTCTCTTATTTCCACTGATGCAAAGAACTACGTGCTATTTGGTTGATATGTGGTCCATGTCTATTCATGTGAAAGCCAACATATCTTCTCTTTTGCCGGATCTCATTCATCATTATTGAAAGTAGTTTTGCACTGAGCACAACTAAGGAGATATGTGTGAATGTTAATGAATACCATTCACAATTAATGAATACCATCTATTTGAGATATGTGTGAATGTTAGCTCACATAGATATGGCCATGTCATCCTATTATACGCCTTTGATATACCAAGTTTCAATACAACATTGCCTCTTTTATGTGGTTTCTTTGTCTTTAATGATTTTCTGTGCTAGTAATATTCTTTTGAATATCAACCTCCTTATTGAACCTTGATTGATTGTGGGATATGTTTTTAGGAAGAGTTCGAGCCAACCTTACGTTAAATATCTTTAAAAAATAGTTATTTAGGATATTACACACACTGACTGGCCGAAGATTATTTAGTTGATGTGGGAAAACCACTTTTATAATCATAACAAGACATGTGTAAGTAAAACATGGGGATATTTACTTCTTTAAAGAAATCTACTACAACTTTATATACATTTTGATAATTATTGACTAGTATTTTGTTTAATAAAAGGTATTATTCAACCCATCCGAGCCCGGTGTACTTTCTGGATTAATTGAAAAGATAATATTCTTTACCTCTTCCATTGCGGGAGATGATATGAGCATTTTATTGTCCATATTTGTTACTTTAGTGCTTAAACAGTTCAATAGTGATAAATCTTCTTATGCCTTCCCGTGGCTAAACATCTTCTGAAAGTACTGAATTGCTGCATCTGCAAATGTCTTGGCTTTCTTTTCTCCAAATTCTATTTTAATCTTGCATTCTCTGGATTTTTAATATTTTCCTCCTTCCCTTTATGACATTTTGGGAATATGATGCATTTTTATCCCCTCCCTTCAACCAATTTGACTTAGTTTTCTGCATGATCAGATAATCTTGTAACTAAATATTGAAAATACTTCGTTTTAGATTTATTCAGTTATGTTCTCTTTTCTGGTGAACAATCTAGCACCAAGACTTCTTCAAAACCTAATATTTGTTTCCCCAATTGATTTGGTTCTTCATAAATATCTCCAAAAGTTTGCCTCGACCATACACTCACTCTGTTGCATACCCTTTTCAATTT